TCTCTAGCCGAGCTTGCGCCTGTGGAAAAGGCCCACCCCACCCGAGATTCCCATATCATCAGGACACCATTCTACTTTTCTAAACTTGAAGGCTGAAATCCTAAATCCTAAACCCTGAACTCCAAAGTCGTCCTAAACCCTAAGCGCCAAAAACCTAGGCCCTAAACCCTAAGCAAAGCCTAGGAATTAGAGTAAGCCCCAAGCCTAAATTCCAACGACGAAATCGCGAGATTCCAACGAAGCATCGGCTTCGTGGAGAGTTTCCCCGCAATGTTTGGGAATTGGATTGGCTTCCGGATCTTGCCAAGCTCCAGCTGAGACATACAGCTCCAAAGCCGCGAGTGCTCGCGTGCCCAAGACCAACGACATCTTGTTAATCCTGCACTGCAATTCGCCCACAACAGCATCTCCGACCCATTCGTCCCTAGTAGAATGACTTGACTAGCTTTTGTTCCAGCCCATCCTCAATTTCATAAGGTCGAAGCCTCCGTGGCCATGCCCTCGGTTACCATGCAAAAGGACTGCACCGTCTGTGCAATGCCTGTAGGTGGAAGCAGTTCAGCGTTGACATGAAGGCGCCGTAGTGCCGTACTGGTAGTTGCAGATGCAGTGCTTTGCCGCCTCTGCAGAGGACGCAGAGCAGATCGCCGAGGAGCTTGTGAGGCTCTACGAGAAGGAGCCCCCGGAGTTCATCGATGTTTGCAGGCTCACTGTCGGAGTCGTCGGCTGACGGAGGGTTTTGCCGGCGCGACGGGCGCGTGCAGGCCAAAGAAAGAGGTCGCGCCGCCTGCTACGCCATGGACGTCACCGCCGCCGATGCTCCTTAAATCGCCGTCCGACGAGCTCTTGGAGGACCTCGGGTCAAGGCAGAGCCGAGGCTCCAACTGGCACCAACAGCGGGAGGAGCCACAGCAAGACGTCGAGGACGACCCTGAGCGGCAGGTCGGGCAGGCCGGGACGGCTCAGCGGTGCTCGGAGCATCTCAGCGCTCTTTGAACCTCAGGAGAGCATCCCGGAGCCTGGCATTGCCGAAGTACTGGCAGAAGGTGCGGTGGTGCGGTGAGTTTTGATCGACAGAACCGCGAAGCTGAGGAGAGGCCATCTTGGCAGAGATACAGCCCAAAGCAGGTGCCATCGCCAAACAGAGGAGTACCTGCATCTGCTCAAAGTTGACGCAAGGCTTTGACAAGCCGGAAGACAGGCCGCAAGGCTTCGACAAGCCGGAAGCCGACAAGAAAGCCAAGAGCAATGGGAAGAAGGACGGTTTGGGCAACATGGCGTGTCTGTGCATGGCGATGCTTCGGCACCCCTCGCGTTTAGCCATGACGTGCGGGGGGCCGCGTAGGAGCGTGCCAAAGAGCGGGATCGCGAGGCTGGGGCCAAGGAGATGGTGCAGATGCTTAGCTGGAATAGGAGGGTTTCCAAATCGGAGTCCCTTTGCAGGAACGGCGCCGTGTGCGAAAGCGTGCCAGCAGCCGGGGTTCCAAGACCTGTCCTTGACCGTGGCCAGAGTTGTGTTTCTCAAGCCCTCCAGCGATCCGACAAAACGTCCAAGCACAGGAATGCTGTCTTAGCGTTTCGGGACAAGGGAGGCCCAGTTCCTTGCGGGTCCAATCGATGAGCAATGGGATTCAATAGGGCAGAAGTTGGCCTCTTGGGTTTCGGAGCTAAGCTTGAGACCCAGAGCACGGAGCGCGGGCTTTGTGTGCTCTTCGGCTCGCAGTCTCCTGATGTTGCGCAAGCAGCACTCTTGTTTTCCCGAATCTGGCTTTCCTGAGGGCCAAGGAGGTGTGTCAGACGTTGCAAGCAGGGAACAGCCAACAGTTCTTGAAGCTTTGTGGAGAAGCCAGTGCTAAGCGATCTTGGTTCGCCCGTCGACAAACCTTGAAGAAACGAAAGCTCTTGAAATTCGCAGCTGCAGTGCCATACATCGCCAACAGTCGGGTCGCATGCACGAGTCGTGCCGCATATCCCAGCTATGTTTTGTGACCTCTGAGTGCCAGGCAGCTCCCGCAGCCGCAGCCGGAGCCCGAAAAAGCTCGAAAGGAAAGGCTCCGAGGCAACGAGGGCTGCCGATGCACTTTGTTGTGTGCATTCGGTAAATTCACGATGGATCAAGATGGCCAAGATGGCGGTGTGCTGCAGATGTCACAGCTTTGCCGGATTGAAGGGGTTGGACCCACATCGATCCTACAATACTCAGCAGAGAATTGGCCGACGTATTCGTAGAGGGACTGTGCGAAGACAGGCAGAACAAGTGAGGCGAGGCCCTGTCCAAGACACTCTTCTCCTGAACCATTTGTCTGGGAATTCAACACGGGGTATGGTTTCGTGCCCCGGCGGTGTGTCAGGTGGGGCGGAAGGGTCGCCGAGACCGCCGCAAGTGTCAGTCCCTCAGGCTTTGACAGCGCTTCTGAGACTTTGTGGTGACAGCTTGCGCTGTTTGGCAAACACTCGTCCCTCGCCTGCTTCTATCAGGTCAAGTTGCAACTGAAAGCGAAAGCGAGTCAGCGTGAGACGCAGCGATGTAAAGGGCTGCAATGACTGTCGCACCGCCTTGGGGAAAACTGGCGATCACGCCAGATTGCTGCAATCTTGTGGGTAGCGTGATGCTCCGTGTGCTCTGGCCTTCACCGGGCAGACTTACCATTCGGTGCATGCGAACGAGAAGAGAACCAATGCGCGGGCGCCCACCGCATAAGTTTGGACAGATCCTCAAAAGGACGGCACGCATCACCTTCCTGGGTTCTAGCTGAGGTGACAATCAACCAGAAGTCTCGCTTCGGAATTGGACCCACCTGTTGCACTGCCTGAGTAGTGCAGAGTCAGCGGCATTTGCCGACGTGAAGAGGAGATGTGTACTTCGTGGCGAATGCCATGGGCATTTGCGAAGTGGTTGAGGACGAGGCCATACCAAGCAGTGATTCTGAAAGCTGGTTTGATGCTTGCAAGTCCTGTTTGCAGATAAAGCGCGTCAGTGCCCAGCACGTGCATTTGCAAAGCGGTCGAAAGCTGGAGGCTTCGGATGTTCACATCAAAGCATGACCTGTTTAGATGCATGCGGCATACTGATCAACACCATTCAGGCGCAAGTCATCCTCAAGCTTTACGGCTTCAACGGAAACTTCGATGTAGATCGTCTGATGACGCTCGTCTAACTCTGCATTTGATATACCATTGACTATGTGTGCGGATTGAACGGCTGTGAACTTTGAAGGAATGTGAAGCACATGATGGGGTTCTGGCCGGACGAGGATGGATGAACACTGCATTACTGCTTAGGTCTGCTGAGGACGTCAATCCACTTGCAGAATCCTCATGAAGATTCTATGAAACACTGGTAAACATACGTAGGTACGCCGTATCAAGGCTCAACCGTGCTGCTCCGTCCTTCGAAGGACTTCCGACGCTACTTGATCGCCGAGCCCATCGGCGTGCTGCGCTCAGATCGGAACCCCGAAGTGTTGGGACAAGGCTTACAGACTGGTTGTGGTGGTCGCCACGCGCGAGGTGAACGCAACTAACTTTGGAGGCACCAGCTTTTCGCCCGGAGTGCGGGTGTGGGCCGGGGCCCCATGGAACAGCCAGCGACATGGGGGAAATCTGGGGCACAGAATCTTCGTTTTGCAAGGTTGACTTCGGCGCCTACTTCTTATGGTGAACACCAAGCCACGATATTCCGAGCAGCTGTGCCCTGTCGCAAACGTGAAAGAGGTATCCGAAGGACTTCGCCAACGTTCGGGATTCCGGTCCGGCTGTCAGCACGCAATTCAATTAAGGAAAAGCAGCGTTCTTCCACGGATGACGGCTTCTGATCTTCTAAGCTATATAGGCTATAACTGCTACTGCTGCTGCTGCTGCTGCTACTACTACTACGACGACGACTACGACTACTGCGACTACGACTAGGACTAGGACTCGGGCTACGACTGCGAACGACGACCGACTGCCGACTGCGAGTTGCTGCTACGACGACTCACGACTGCGGCTAACCATGACCACCAAAAAAGCCCTGCCACCACAACGACGACGACCGAACTGCCCCGACCACAGGCAGCTAACAAAGATCCCCAGCCTGCAGCAAGAATCAGGTCTGATGCCCTCGCATGCAGCAGAGCCGGAGTATGACAGACCCGCTTATGTCCGCCACTAAGAGTCTGGAAAGAGTTTTCTCAACTATGATTCGGTCAAGGTCGTCACATCCTTCGCGTTCGTCACTGGCTTGTGTTTTCCTGCTTCCACTTCTATCTCCGTGTTTTCAGTGTCGTTCGTCTTCGTTTTCTCACTGTGTAGTCCAGTCCGTGCGGTACCGGGACTTGGGTGGCTGTTCGCAGAGCAGACCTCGACAGAGGGCAGGCCATGGCTTACCGGAGCCCCTTCTGCCAAAGTGATACCCTGCATCGCTCAGCAAGCCGTCATTCAGACGCCAAGGTGATCGATGCCCGTCATGGCACACAGACTATCATGGGGGTCAGCTGGGGCCTCGGGATCCTGGAGCTCAACGCGGGGGATCTTAGCGAATTTGACCCGCCGCAGATGGCGCGACGCCGGCCATCGCAGAGTCCCACGCAGCCCTGCCCTCGGCCGATCTCTGCCAGTCACTGCCAGAAGCTCCGAAAGAGTTCAGGGCCTCGGACTGGTAAAGCGGCAGAAGCAGCTGGAATGCCACCCGACACGCAAGTGCCCCTCCCTCCCACGTTTCTTGAGGATTTGGGGGCAGTTGAGCACCGGGTCATGAGCAGGTATCTGGAGGAGTGCCGACTGGAGTGGGAAGAGTATGGGCAGAAGCTGAAGGCTGGCTCCGTTAGCGATCTATGTTCAGATTTCCTGTTGGTCAAAAAAGCAGCTCCACGGGTACGCCGGAGCTACCACATCCCTCCCTGGTCCTCGTCTTTGCCAGCAGCTTGAAAGCTACACGTTGTATTTTTTCCGAGTTTCAGAGGCTCAAACTTGGGAAGTGGAAGTGAACTCGGGAACAGCTTTGACATAAAGTGCCAAGCATGTTGCGATTGGGACAGCGGACTTTGCAGAGGCTTAGCCGCCGCAGCGCCACGAAAGCAGTCCGTGGGCTGATTGTGGCTGCAAGACCCAAAGCCACATTGGCCACAACGCACCAGGACATTCCGACGTTGCCACCACGGGTCTTCGACTACCCAGGCAAGACTGGAGCTTCGCGCAGCAACTGGGAAGACTGGATGGTCAACTTGCGCGGCGAGGATGCCTGGCTGGCCGGTCCTCGTGACCTCTCCTGGTACACCGGCCAACCGCCTATGCCAGGGCTATGCCCCGGAGTGTCGCTGGATGGGGCCATTCGGGCATTGCCCATGCCCGATCTGAACAAGCTTACCCGGAAGCAA